AGATAAAGATCTTGATACTTTTGGGCTAGAATCATATCATTATATGTTTAATATTATGTTAGTTGGCGAAGAGATATCATCAATTTATATTGAATATTGGTATAAGTATAATAATTATTCTCAATCACTCATTTTAAAATTTTAGTCATTAATGCATTATTTAAATTTTTAAAACAATCTTGTATTAAAATATATCATTAAAAATTAATAAGAATTTCCTAAACTTACATTGGTATAAGTTGATTTCTCTCAAAATGGCTTGGAACCAATTTCTCTTGGAGTTCCAAAAACCATATAAATTTGTGTTATTTTATTTTTTTAAACGTTTGTTAGTACAAAAAAGTTACATAATTTGAATTGCATTATACTACATAGATTAAATCATTAAACGAATGATAGATCCTTTGATATTAGAGATTATCCTCATTTAATAGTTTATATTTTGCAGTTTGATGCTATTCATATTGCAAAACATGTGACTCTTACAAATTTCGTATAATAAATTTTTTTTTTCAATTCTAATATACTACTGCTGACCAATTCACAAAGTTTAGTAGTAATTTTTTTAAGTAAAAAAATATATATTTGTGCCCTCTAAAATATGAAAAAATATTTATTATTTTAAAATAAATTTTAAATAAAAAACATTTATTATTCCAACATAAAAGAGTAGTTTTTGTGTCATTTTAACAAAAGCATGCATGTGTGGCAATAATTGAACCTTGGAGATGTCTTTTGTAAGACATCTTTACAGGATAAGGAGAGTGGCATTTTCCTTTTTGTGCAAAGGAAAATGACATTATTACCTATGAAGCCTTAGTTTAATTATTAAGATGAAGATTTTGATACTTAAAGGTCAAGTTTGAATCATATCTTTACTTATTGTTTATTTTTATGTAAGCTTGTCAAGAGTTAGCATCAATTTATATGAATATTGGTGTAAGTATTACATTAATTTTTTGCTATTTATTTTAAAATTTTAATAATTAATGTAATATTTTAAATTTTAAAATAATATTATCTTTCTATATAAGTTGATTTCACCTAAAATGGCTTAATTCTAGTTTTTCTTGGAAGTTCTAAAAACCATATAAAAGTGTGCTGTTTTATTATTTGTAAGGTGTTTAATGATACAAAAAAGTATCGCAGTTTAAAGAATTTTTTTTGTGTATTCAATTTTTAAAGAAACTTCGAGGAGGTCTGAAAAACTGGAACCATACTTCTTTCTTTATTTCTTTTCACAATCTAACGTGAAAAATCAAGAACCCTATCATAGAAAGGAGTTATATAAACCTTAAACTATAATAAAATGGACACAAATTTTTAGGAGTTGTTTGGATTAACTATTTAGATATTATTGATAATTGATAATTGGTATCTAATTGTTAATGATTATTTTTATTTATAATTTAAAACATTTAATCCGTTAAATTAGAGATAAAAATTGATAGCTATTCGTAAAAAGCTAAAACAAGCACTTCCTAATAATTCAATAATTGAAGCTATACATTTTTTATATTGTTATGCAATAAGGATAATTTTTTCATTAGTTAGAAATGTAGACAATTTGGATCATAGAAATTAGAGATGTGAATGGTTGTGGCCGTTGAATAAATTGTCAAGCCACCCAAACTTTTAAAATTTATCTTTTAAAATATTGGTTTTGTTTAATATGATGTTAATCAATAATAATTGTAGTTGATTGTTGATAAATAATAAAATAATTAATATTTATTATTTAATTATTTAAAATTAATCTACATAATAATATTTTCAAATATTATAACTGATTGGGTGGCCATAACTATTCCCAAATTAGATCCTTAACATCAAGTCAAATTGTAAAGGACAATATTATAGTTATAATATCATATAAAAGTATAAATTTATAATCATGACATGTCATTTAAAAAATCAAGTTAAATCTTTATTTTAGTTCCTCAATTTTGATAAGAAGCTCTTTTTTAATCCTTTTACTTAAAAAAACTCATTTTTGATACATATATAAAATTTGAAATATAATTCATTTTTAGTTCATCTGTTAAATTTTACACATGTAGCATATTAGATGATAGAAATTTCAAAGTAAATGGACTAAAAAGAAGCTAAAAATAGCCTTTTTTGGTTTTTTTACTTTGAAAAAAGATCATTTTTTTAGTTCTTTTACTTTGAAAATTTTATCATGTAACGTTAAAACTTAATGAAATGACTAAAAAAAAAAATCGGATTTCAAACTTTGGGACCAAAAAGGTGCTTTTTTAAGTAGGACTAAGTTGGGGTTTTAATCATACATATAACATCACAAATAAACTCTTAATTAAAAATAATTAATTATATAACGATACATCATATTATAAGTTTATAATATCACATAATATTGTAATTATGTCATTTTTGAATTATAAATTAAAATTAAAATCTTATTTTCACTTCAACCAATTATTAACTTGCAAGTTAACTCAATAATTTGATTAGAAAGGAAGATTTTTTTTTTCTCACATGCTAATTTTCATTAAAAAAATATTTTTTATTAATGTAAAAAGAAAATTATTGGTATACACTCAATTTAATACACTTTTTTATTCTTGTTTAATTCAGTTATGAAAATATAATATAAGTTTGGTCTGATTTAGTGAATTTTTATGCCTTATATGTATAATTGCATTTTTAAGATTGTTTACCTTTAATTTTAAACAAATAATAATAATTTTTTAATAAATATATTGTGTACCACGTTAAATTAACGTGCATACTAATCAGTACCTAATCCAAAAACAGTATCCTTGATTTTAAGTCATTATTTCAAAACAAGTAAAGTTTATACTCTCAATTGGAGATTTAGTAAGAGTCCATATCTCTGATGATAAGTTTTTACTTACTCTTTTTATTTCAAAATAATTGTAATTTTTTATTTTAAATTTATATTCAATTAATTATTATTTTTTTATTTTTAAGAAAAACAAATAATTTTTTTACGTTAATCCTATTAGTTTCTACTATTTACTTTAATTAATTATCATATCACAAAATCTTTTTTATTTTTTTTAAAGATAATATAAGTAAATAAATAAATTATTTTCAAATTCTTAATTTAGTAAAAATGTAAAAAAAAAATAATTATTTTGAAATAAAGAAGTAATAAATATTAATCTGGCAAGCTCTGTATGCTAATGGAGATTAATGTATGTGTATAAATTAACGATGGGGAACCATAACTTTAGCCATTGAAAAAAGAGACAGCATCATTAATTTTACAAGAGGAGATGGTCTTGATCCGATAATAAGTCATTCATTCCTGAGGTTTTTCCTCAAAAGGACAACTACTGAATTCCTCTGTCTGTTCCAAAAACATAAGCTCCTGCAAAAAAAGAAAAAAACACTGTTAATGGAACAGAAGACCAAAAAAAAAAAAAAAAAAAGAAGAAAAAACACTGTTAATGGAACAGAAGACCAAAAAATGATTGTAATTAAAGAATCGAATCAGAAATATATGAAAATATCGCACCTAGCGTGGGCATTAGAAAGGAGAGTGCTGCAGTTCCAGCAATCTTAAGAGGCAACCCTGTCTTAATCATATCCAGCATCTCAATGTGCCCTGTCGCGAACCCGACAGTATTAGATGGTGTCGCTGTCGGAAGCAAGAAAGCAAACTGAGCTCCAATGGCTCCGGGGACCATGAGGAACAGCGGATGGACGTGCATTGTTTGTGCAATTTGGATGAGGAGCGGGATAAGGAGGGTAGTGGTAGCATTGTTGGATGTGATGAATTCCGTGATTGTTGCGCTGATCACGCAGACAGCCGGCACAATTGCCAGGTAAGGCACCTGTTCCAGGAAATCTATGGCTTCCGATAAGACATCAGCCAGCCCACTGGTTCTCACCCCGTCGGCTATGGCAAAACCGGCGCCAAGTAACAGGATGATGTTCCAAGGTAACTTCTTGCATTTGTTCCAGTCCATCAATTTTTCCCCTGGCTGTTTCTTGCTTGGGATTATGAATAACAGAGTGGCAATCATAACCTATATATTTTTGTACCAAATTTAATTAGATGAATTAGTGTCATGTATCCAATTAAATTGATTTTTCTTTGGAAAAGATGGATAGCTTACACTGACTGTTCCATCACCAGCACGACCATGAAAGAGAGCTCCCCAACCGGGAATGTCATCTGTTATGCTTCTTGTCATCCACAAAGCAATTAGAATCTGCAGTAAATTATTTCATTAATCAACTCGAGGACATTACACTAACATTTAACATGGTCCAATATTTTGACTTAATAAAACTACTAAATTTTATTTTGAGAGTAAAGTTTCAATATCTCTGGAAAAGAAACTATGCTATGTCATATAATTTATAATTAAATGGGATTTGGAAGATAGAAATTTGAAAAACAATTAAAGCAATTAAGGACTTACCCCAAACAGAGTCAATATCATCTTTTCAGCAAATGCCATTGGACCTGCCAACGTCAAGAACAAAACTTGATTAGCTGAATAGGAGGGATTAAAATGTGAAATATAGAAAATCCTGGGGCCTTTTTTTTTTTTTTGTAATGTACCTAATATTTCGAGCTCTCTCTTGAGATGGGCTTTGTCCAAGTACGCAGATAAGGCCGGACCTGAGCCCCTTGAGCAATACAACAAACACAGGATACCCCATAAAGCGAAGAAAATCAATAGGGCCAGTGGGAACCCAAAGAAGAACCACGTGCTGAAGCTGATGGGCTCGGCCTCAGGAAAATAGCTCTTCCACATGCCCACCAATATCAAGTTGACACCTGTCCCCGTCAGCGTACTCATCCCTCCCACGGCGGTGGCGTATATCACCCCAAGTACCACTGCCTTGCAGAAATTGCGAACCACGTTTGACTGTGAAGGTCCCTCGGGCATTCGCTGGAGGATCCCGGTAGCCACCGGCATCATCATCATGGCGGCGGCGACGTTGTGCATCCACATGCTGACGAACGCCGTCGTGGCACAGATGCCGAGAAGGAGTAACGGTGGGTTCAGTGGATCTCCGCAGAACAACAGCGTTATCTGTGGGGCCCACGTTGATTAAGTATTTTAAGTAGGATAATAATATTCGAATTAACTTTTTCTTATAATTTTTTTTTTTTTTTTTATAAATCTTTACATAATATTAAATAAACGTTATCGAGCGAATGAAATATCAATGAATAAATAATAAATAGATTTATGTAAAAAAAAATTATCTTTTTATCATTTTTCATTTCATATTTTCTAATGATACTTTTATTTATTAATAATCAAAGTAAATTTGTCCAAAAAAAAAGGAACTTACATTTAAGGCTAATCTTCTATGAATATTGTAATGCTCAACAGCAAGGGCGAGGATGAAGCTACCAAGAACAAGAGCGATCACGTCATCCATGTAAGATTTGGCAACCGAATCTGCAGAAGCAATTCCGAACAGGGGAAACAGGAACAGAGGAGACATGGAGGTCACGGGCATCGGAACGGCCTCCGTCAGCCACCAGGCAAATATCCACGCGAGAATCGCCAGCATATTCCTGCCGGTGACAGGACCATCGAGCTTGACACACAGGCATATAATGGCGCAGAGGAGCGGTCCGAGGAGGATGTAGCAATTACCGGGCGTGAATACGGATGTGAGGAAGGAGTGTGAGCTTGATTGGCGGGCCTGGGTCGGATCGTGGATGGGGAGGAGTGGGGTTTTTGAATCGTCGGAGTTGGTATGATCGGTGTCCATTTTTGTTGAAGGTAGAAGAAAAGTAGTGATAGGAAAACAGAGGATCAGACCATGTGTCAGAGGCTACTTTGTCTTTATA